TTTAGGCTAATTTAGTTTACTAAACTGTTTTTTCAGAGTAAAAATTTTTCAAATTTTTTTTCTAAAAAAATTACATTAATGTATAAAAAAAAATTAAAAAATCCATCAATTCTACATACTTGTCCACTCTCCATTGCTTATGTCATGTACACGCCAAATCATAACTCCCTTAATTTAGTCGCCTAATCACCATCAAGTTTAGGTAATTTAGGCGACCGTATATATGGTCGCGTAATACAACTTATGACTCATAAGCGACCTCGACCGAGACATACCCAGCTCTAAGTATTAATGAAGGAGACGTTGCAAAGGATGGAGGTATTCGTATGTATTCCCGTGCCCAGAGAGTACGTACTTTGAGGAAGAGTAGGCAACTCGGGCCTGTAGAGAATCCGGTGACCTAAGCAAAGTGGCCGACGCGCATGACATCGAGTAAAGTTGCGACGCGTGTTGATGATTTCCACACGGTTACGGAGTTAGAGGGGAACGTCCCCCATGGGTTGCATTGGATGCCATACGACGGAGAATCCGCTGGTGCGTCATACGTATGACACGGTGTACGTCTCAGGTGGAGAATATTGGAGAGCGAGGTCTCATGGCGGAAGGCCGGAATCTTTTCACGGCCATCTTTCGGCGTTGTGTGTTGCTGGGGTAGAAAGTGAGCTCCACTCATGCAACTGCCTCCACTCTTGAATCTGCATATGGACCACCACTTTTGCCTTCCGATCGGCTAATCTCCGACCTCCAGCAAGAACCCAAAAGCATTCATTTGCCCTTCCCAAAAAAATCAGAGCGCACTGCAAGACTTTAGCAACCTACTACATGCGTGTGGTTTCCCTTTCACATCATTGCACTACAACTGAAACATGCCCAATGCTCCCCCTGTTCAACTTGCTAGCTCGCTGGCTGGCTGGCTGGCTATGTCGATCCTCACATCGATACTCTTGTCGCTGATTTGGAACTCGGACTTTCATATTCTCCTTCTTCATGGAAAAGCCAGAACCTTAACTTCCATGGGGAGGACGAAGCATGACACTCGACCACATCCGCTCGCACTTTGCCTTCAAGTATAAGATGAAGCAACTGCGTGAATCAGGACGTGAGTTTGGCAGATGCGTACGTCTTAACAACGCAGTCGGCAATACCTCCGCGGAAGAGCTCTCGGATTGAATTCCCGGAGGCGATCGGAAATTCCTTTTTCTTTTCGCATGTCGTGAGATATGCCTTGTGGATAATGGCTCTCATGTCCTCTAAAGGTACTGGCTCTCCCTCCTCTCCTCTTCTCTTCTCTTCCCTTCCCTTCCCTTGTCTTGTCTTGGCTGGAGAAGCGTTTCTGTCTTTCTCGAGGAACAAAGCCGAAGAACATTAATGGCAGACTGGGGCCAAAATCCGAGCAACCTTCGGATCACGTAACTCGAATATGGACGCAACTGCGATCGTCCGGAAGACGAAGTTGCAGTTGCAGTTGCGATTGCGAGGCCGGGATTTGCGTCCGCTGGCCATCACTGGGGCTCGGGACAAAGCGAAAGCTGCGGGGCCAGAATCCGTCCGCGCTCGCGACAACGCCAAGCTCGCCTGAAGACAAATGTAGTGCTGTACCTCTTGGAGCGGCCAGGCGGGAGCCTAACCTCGCTCACGCAGTAGGTCTGTGCCCTACTGGGTCGCAGACGAGGCTCGATCATGGAATCCATGGATGGATAGCCATGTCATAATGCCAGCGCTGACATGTCAGTCGGACCCTCACGGGTGGCGGTCCGTCAGTTCTGACTCGTCGAATGTGACTTCTGTCGATTCAGTCCCTCGGCTCTGCCCGATGACGGACTCCCGAACAGAGTATGACGTGCCCCCGCGGCCCTGTCACCACATTCCTGCCACGTGTTTTTCCTCTGCTGACGGCCGGTGCTCACCGCCCGGTCCGTCTGTGCCAGTTGTTCGACCACGGTTCGAGACCCGAAGGTTTATGTTCCTGGTCGCCGTGAGACCGTGAGTCGTCGTCGAGGAGAAACTGACCAGCAACTTTTCTTCGTACCATGTGGACCCGCGAGACGATGTCTATTTGCGCATACAATAATAGTGCCAAGGTTTCAACGTCCGGGAAAATGCACCTTCTATTATTTCTCTACTATTGATCCAATTCTACTCTAAATATGGATAATCAATAATTAATAAACCTTTGGGACATAATGGGATACTTTTCTTCGTAGTTCATAGCAGATTCTTGCATACAGAGTACTGAGAAGGTCAGTGCGCTTTATTGCGTTATGAAAAAAGACCGATACTTGATTTCGTACACCTTGAAGAGAGATAATAGTCTGTTGCTCATGCACCTGCGGTTGGCCGGACATCTTTCTTCCTTCTAGCATTTCGTCTGTCCATGCCAAATGAATTGATCTATTTGAATGAAAACTATAAAATCTAATACGGAGGAAATTGCTTGATGGACCCATCCTAACACAAATTTTTTACCCAAGTTCTAATACATGTTCTGTAAATACATGTATAGGTTTATAGACTCTGAAAGTTTGTGGCTGATCTTCTAAGAAAAACTGTAACTGAAGTAAATGATTTGGAGAATTTTCCTTGGTCAGCCTGGTGACTAAACTTCAATCTTCTGACCACTTCCCTCTGATATATTTTTATGAAGACATATTTCATAACTCGCCGACTCCTCCTCCAGCCTTCATATCGATCACTAAAATCAATATTTACACGTCCTGCTTGCTTATTTTTTATACAAATTGCTTCAAGTGTCTACGATATGTATTGAACTGGTAATGAAAAACCGTGGTCAAGGCAGGCAATGGTGCAAAACCAAACCAGAAGTTCATCAACTTATCAGGATGTGACAAAGATTATGCGCTCAATGCTATACTTCCAACGTCACCATTGTTGGAACAGAGCTCCACAATGGCAGGCACGTGGGTTGACTTGACACAATCGAAATTGCCTGCAGTACATTGATGACATGTGATTTTGGTGGGATCCCATTGGCTAACACGAAACTTGATCGATGCAACAAACAATTTGTGTTAGGATAGGATTTGTCCCATCAAGTATTTATCTCTCGAATGTGCATTGTCTTAATTCAAGATGCATCAAGTTCTTAATTAGATTCACAGAGGAGTTTTTTTTTATACCCTCTTTTTCCGTGATCGAAGAATGATTAGTATGTTGTTCAAGTGAATCTTGAGGTATTCTTAGCCATAATTCGTTGCGTGGGATCTATGAATTGAAATTGTCAGACTCTTATAAGTTTTCTCCATTTACTCTCATACACATAAATCTCAATTTGAGAATTTTTTACTTATGTGCATGTGAGAAAGATCTCTTCAACCACATGAGATTTCAAAAATAGATTTAGTTACATCAAAAATGTTTCTTTTGATGTAACTTTTTTTTGATGTTTCTTTAAAACATGTGGAATAAAGAGAAGTAACCTATTAGTAAGGTTACTAAAATCACAATGTTTGCACTATCAATTCTACTGATGTCGTGAAGTTGTTGAACAAAGACTTAGCACTGTAAGATTCTCTTTAGCTACACAAAGTACCAGATTCGATATCGCTAAATTATAGAAACATCTACAGTATTTAGAATTAGTTCGAAAATTTATACTCATATGTAGTTAAACACCGATGCATATATAAATCATTTGAAGGAGCACTCCAACCTAGTCTCAAAATCTCACTTCAAAGAAATGTATTTTTTATCAAAATGAATTCATTTGCTTTGACATTGCGATTTTTGCACGAAGGTGTTTTTCGCGCTTGAGTCAGTTGTCTTAGTTTCATAATAAAATAATATAGAAAGTTCACATGCCAAAATATAAAATGATGTAACAGAATCTTATAAGATTCATTCATAAGCTTCTCATATTTGATAATGGGAATATTATGACTTTCGTTGGTCCTAATTGCACGATATTCAAACAATTCTTGTAACGAATATGCAATCACAGCAAGGTTTTACGTGCCCACAGTGTAATGAAACTCATTTTGAAACGAAGAAAAGTTTGCGATAAGAAAGACAAGAATCTAGAAACCGGTAGGAGGAGTGAAATGATTAAACCGTACGGGGCTTCGTTCTCGGCGAACAAGCAAACAAGCGAGTGGTGCGGAACCGAGCATCGACGAGAGAGTGCGAACCCGTGTCCGGACTCGGTCCAGGGCAGTGCAACTGCGTGAAAGCCTCGGGGGCGCCTCTACGTTAGATCGACCACGGTCGAAGCCCGTGGTCGAGATTCCGCATGGTCGCTTCAGTTCGATCCATTCGCAGACCCATGCACGCACGCACGCCGACGAGAGACGGAACGAGATCGCGACCCGGCTCTGCATGCATTTGGGCTTGTGTCCGCTTGTGGTCCCTCGCCCCGAAACTGGCGGTTGGTCGGTATGGGGTCGGTCGCACATCCTTTCTGTGCTCTCTCCAGTTCGGGTGGGCTTTTCTCGGGACTGAGAAATGCCCACATCTCGACCTGGAAGAGAACGAGGTGAATCGAAAGAGTTGTTCAGCAGCGGATTCCATGCCTTCTTGAGCAGCGGGGCATTCGATCTTTACAATACGCGTCTCGATCTGCGATTTGCACGAATTGCTTTGCTCGAATTTCGCCATGCTTGTGTTTGGTCCGTGGTATAACAGTGCACGTTGTTCGCGAATGCTCCTTACACGCGTCGGTGGAAGACAAGACAGAAAAATATGAGGGGCCATCTCGAGAATGTCGTAGCTGGTGGTAGGATTCACACCGATAGTCGGTGAAAATCCTACCACCAGCTACGAGATTTCGCTGCCATGGGAAAAAATCCTTTCCGAAGATTCGAACGACCTCCTCAGTACATGAAGGACAAATCTAAGAGTGGTCCATGACGAGACTAGATTGCAGGCGAGCATCCTCATGTAAGCTGATACCAACAAATGCATTCATGCTCGGGTGCAATGAATCTCGTGATTTGTCGTCGTACACTTTCGTTGTGATCATACAAGGGACCGACCTCGATGAGAAGGTCAATGAGACTGGATGAATGAATTTTTTTTTCCCGCAGAAAACATAACCATGTACATCAGCTTCAGACAACCCGGTGTTCGGGAAAAATGAGCTGCAGCTGATGAAATTCGCGATGTACTCGTATCGAATTCCTCTTACATGGTCGAAAACCTTCGAGGCTCCATCGAAGTGAACAAAGACAGAATGCTCAGAAATTTCGTCAGACGCTAAAGCACGGAAGGTTTGGGCTTGACTTCTGGATTGCTTGCTCATTCCTGAGTATGATGACCAACGCGCGATTTTGAACTGTCCACACGCAGTTTATCCTTTTCAAAGTAGGCTAGAACTTGAGCCCATCGCTGGGGGGTTTTGACCTGGTGTATGAGAATGGACTCAGGTATTAGTTCATGAGCGCACTTACCTCCAAACTCCGGGTGGTCGTAAAACAGCGGCTTATCGTTCACTCGATTTCGGGCCTTGCCACCTTCATCGAACCACTTACCCACGAGCTCATCTTCAGTTCCCTCGGTGCGGTTTCTCGGAATCGGCGAATCCCTGATCCATTGCACGAGATCCCACGAGATCACATACCCCATACCGGCCATGTACCACTTGTATGGGTCCTGATTTTCGCATGGAAGAATATAGCCGTAGTACAGATCGGTACGTGACAGTGGGGAGAGATGGATGGCCAGATTAGCGATGCGCACGTACGAATCATCATCGGTTTTCATCACGTAGTCGTAGCTGCCTCCCTCTGCAGCTAAACTGGAGAAGTAGTAGAATGACTTGCCATTATTCATATTCTCCTCGCATTCCAGCTCCATCACATCTCCATATACGAGCTTCTCCAAGCCCACCAGAGTCTTCTCTGAGTCATCTTTAAGCTTTCCGAGGATGAACTTCACGGTGACATGTGCAATATCAGACGACTGGGCGCCGTAGGCCAGTCGAAGGAGGTTCCTCCTCTCCGTCTTCTTCGCCATAGTCATTATTCCTATTAAAATACTAAACTTTTTCGTCCTCGACTTGGTGGACGTACTGTCTCCACTTTCCTGCATGATAATGCTTCCACCATCGTGTGATCCCGAGCCTTTGTTCCAAGCTTGAGAATCGGTATCTTCCAGCATGCTATTGGCATCTTTAGTACCCTGCAGCTGCTTCGTATGACCGATCTTATTACTATGTGAAATGCTGTTGAAGTGGACAGCGACATTATCGCACTGGACAACTTCATGCACGATGCGACTAAGAAGTGTGGGGCTCATGAACACAGAGAAGTAGAGAATGAAGCCCATTGTCACCACTCCTACAAAGCCAATGCTTACCACCGAAACCCCCACGTTTATCATCTGCCCAGTCGGTTTGTAAGGCCGCCTCGGGACACAAGCCGATCTCATGCCTACGGTATTCATTTTGCTGCCAAACCTGGAGACGAAAGGAAGACATAACAACTTCGGTTAAGATCCATCTGCATCTAGAATGTCTCTAGCCGAAAGTCGATCATTGTACTTGGATACGTACTTAGCCCAGGAGCAGGTGTTGCACTCTGACTAGCCACGAGGATACAAGGTTAAGGTCTTCTCACATGTACAGAGCTGGAGGCATGCAACCAACCAAAGTCGATGATATTGAGCAGGATCCCTCAGAAGAGCCCGTTATTAAATCTCTTACTCGAAAAAAACCGAACAGAATAAGATGCACTTCGGTGGTAAATTTCACAATGGTTCTTCAGCCACTTTGTATTGTCGTGAAAACTTCCCCCGATTATTTATACATTCGTAGAAAGTTGCACACAAGGTAGTGAGGAAATGGAAGTTGGAAGTTGAAGGTCTGCAAAAGTTATCGATGAAATATCGTATTGTCTGAGTCAAATCCCAAAACCTTTCAGGCAAGTGTAGCTCGAGAAGGGTGCTTGTCGGAATGAAGGAGAAACAAAAGTCGCGACAATGCAAACCTAACATTCTCCACTGACACCCATTCTAGTCACATAGGTCCTTGCTACCTTTCCCACCAAAGGCGTTACTAACTGAACAATTACTTGAGGCAGCCCCTTACAATCAACGTTAGCTCTAACTCATCCCAAACTCCGAAATCTTCAGAGTGATGTGAGTTTACAGCCCCAAGTTATCTCTCTTCTCAGACATATGTAAACTCAAAGGTCTAAATTAGTAAGCTCATAAGACATAGGAACCCAGACGATCTATAACGTACTAAACCGTAGGCGTTCGTAACCATCACCAAGGGTTAACGATATTGAACAGCAACAATTCCGTGCAATTATTTCCCTCCTTGGGCAGCACATATTTTGAAGATGCGTCTGAATCGGCAATGCTGCATGTAATGTAATTCATCACCCGACAAACCCTGAAGATTGCGTCTTGCACAAACGGAAGACATGAGCACATATAGTTTTGCTCATCAGGTATATACTTCAAGAGAAAGAAAAAATAGAAATAAAAAAACGAGGGGCCTCGATAACACTTCATTCGCAACTCTGGACGGACGCGCATGATACCTCCTCTTGCACTTAAGAGACTAGCCCTTACTACTTGATATGCTAACAGTTGGAAATGTGGGCCCTTTAAACCTCTGCACCTTAAAGAGAAATAGATACAAGGTCGATAGTCCCTTGCTGGGTCCATCTACAATTCATCGTCTTCACAGAAAACAGCATTCTCGCTCTGAATAATTGTAACACGAAAGCTCATTTTAATGGGAAGTTGCAACCATCCTAGTCCCCTGAAGAGAAGTTTGGAGGACTGATGAAATGTGCAAGCCATGAAGTTGAGCTATTATAGCCCGTCAACTAGACCAACGAACAGAACTTTCAACCTGACGGTTCTCGCTGATCTCAACGAAATAGATCCTGCTAAGTGATCCCACAGTTTACACGATTCCTTTTACAGCTGCCCGTGAGAAACAAGCTCGTCTCTCAGCAGTGATAACTTTACGATCATGACAGACTGCATCCTCGATGATGCACAAATTTAAGGTTGACATATCTTTTCCACAACTGCATACAGTATGTTTCTATAGTGGCCTAAAAACAGATGAGAACGGAAAAGGACCATAATCTCGAATAACGTTTTCACACTCGTGAACCATGCAAACAGCAGATGTCTTCTGCATTGAGCAGAAATAGCTCAATGTCCATATTTCCGATATTTTCAACGCAACATCAGTCGGATACCAACGTGAAGTCAAGAGAACGTAGTGACCTACTACTGGAATATGTGTCTGCGTCATACACGTTAGCATGCCCTAGGAAGTTCATGGACCACGTCCTGCGTAAGGCATATGACTAATCTCTAGGATGTCTGAAGACGTAGAATCTCACTCTCGTCACCACACAACTTTTAATTTGTTGTCAACCGTCAACAATCAACGTCAAGAATTTCTCTTCCTTCATCACGTCCTTATTTGCTAGCTCTCGCTTTTTATGACTCGTCGGCACCGTCGGGTCCGGCTACTCTACGATGGCGAAGAGAGCTTCTGCCAGATTTGGGGGACTTCCGCAAGTCGATCGATCCTCACATATTGTAGCGTCAGGTATATGCTCGACATAGATCAACGGCAACGTCGTCACTTCTGAGCTTGTCTTGAACTAAGACCGGGTCCTTACCCGGTCCTAGTAAGTTCAATTGCGATTCCAGACGTGCGAGTAAAAGAGGGCACTCATCAGCTCCGTGCTATGCTTCTGGCCAAGCCGAGCATGCATGTTTCGGAGTGTGTGGTTAGCTAGGAGCCGAAAGGACGACTTTGTATGTAACGGGGACGCAGTAAGATTCTAATCAGGAAGTCATTCTGAAGGCATATTCATTACGGGAATGATGTTACTTGGATGAAGCTATAACAAGGTCAAAATGAATTGAATACCAGAATAACTGCGCGGTTGTCTTCGACGAGCTTGTCATCAACTGATCACAGCAACTGCTCGCAGCTAAAGGGTATTCTGACATGATCACGGTTTCCTGCTCAAGGATTCGTACAAAGGATTTTCACACAGATTTCTGCCTGGGTTAAATCAATCGTCATGACATTGACACGCGAGTTTTGCGATGACTTCCACATCACGAACTCTGGTATCCAACAATAGTATTAGAAGCAGAATAGAATCAAGTCATTCGATGCGCACTATACGCGAAAAGATATCCGAACGCACGGCACTTGATATCGCTTACTCCATTGATTGTCGAAGGCTCAATCGCTGTCAGGCTCAAATCCTACGATAAGATTTAATTCACGAGTACAATCGATCGATCGTTGATTTCTTCGCCAACTTCAAATAGCACCGTTCAGTCCTGATTCTACAGCTGTTAACCCGATTACCGATGTACTCAGCATACATGCCTGAATTTCCAAAATTACATGCAAGGAAGAATGGTTGAACACCATCTCTATGACATTCTGACCTCAAACGTCTCCTCAGAATCAAGGAGTTCTGCGTACTCTCCACATCGTTTTGTCAGCAGTTCTGTCGACCACTTCCACCGATAGCTTCGGACCTCCGGATCGCCTGGCGCCTATCTCCTCATCGTCACTCATGAAATCGTAGAAAGCTTGAGGAATCAGAGAAGCACGAGGAAGTTCAGCCGTCCCCACTCCTAAAGATGAAAGTGCAGACAATTTGAGAGGCTTCGCATAGCGTAGGCTGAACATCCAGGTGCCATGGATCGAACATGGGCACGCTAGCACCAATCAGAGTGGTCCTCGACGTGGAAGTCGTGTCGTGTGTTTGATATCAAGGCTACGACAATAATCAGAGAATTCGAAGTCAGACGTCAGTCAGACGAAGAGTTCGAGATGAGAAAGCCAGACTCCGCGACTACGTTCCGTGCTCGACAGGCCAAACACGATGGTGTTGTCAAGAAACACAACAAAATCGTCCAGCGCCGAAGGTTCTTGGATCGACAAGTCGTCCTTTGCACACACACCGTCAAGAAACTCGCCAGATGACTCGAGACTGGTGAACGAGGACTGTACGTAACGACCGCAATTTGCAAGATCAGCCCAGTTCTCGAATCCCCAGAAGAGCTGCTGTCGTGGCATCGGCACACCGCCAGAGACTGCCTGCATGTTCGCATCGACACACAACTTCAAATTCCCACTTGGGCGCCGCATAATGTTCGAATTTCTCTCATTTCGTCGAGACTCTTAATTCGGTCCACGTCTCCGAACCCTGTGGCGCGCGGACGCAGGGATCACCATTCAAATCGATCGACCTCTCCCTCGAAATGGGAAGACGGCCATCGGTGCTGACATCACTCGCAATCGATCCACGATGTCGCCAAGTCGGACAACGTACTGCATGAGGAGGTGGACGGTACTGTGACTGGACTAGGGCGCAGGAATCATTCTCGAAGACGTTCTTCTAGCGCGAGCATTTCGTTGTTTTACGGAGGTCCACAAGACTAAACGGGTAAGCAAGGGCTATGTTACGTAGCCCTTGCTTACCCAATTCTAATCTGATGGTACATAGCCTAGGTACCATCAGATTAGAATGGAAATATATGCTGAGGCCAATTAAGATACGGATTTCAAAAAATCACATAATTCTTATATACTTATTTTTATATGAAATGAAAAAACGCAATGCACAGGGAGCTCGGGTATGGATCCATCTCCCGGTGCTTTAGAGGTCGTCTCTCTTCTGCCCTGCCTGCGAAATTACATCACCAGATGCGCATGCAGCGCTGGACAGAGGCTGTCGAGCAAGACTGAAAGGAAGTGACCCGATTCACGATCCTCTGTGATGAGCAGTCTTGAGCACAGTAGTAGTCCGAACGCTTTACAAAATCATATTGTGGTTAGAAATTTAGGCCGGTCCTCCCTTCAGGCACCGGAAACATAATCTGTTTCTCATAACCCGGAATGAACGTCTGTTGTTGGAGCATTTCCAGCCCTCCGTTAATTTAGGAAACAAGAAGTGACAGGAATGACTGGACTTTTAAATCTCCACTGGTTTTGTTTCTTCCAATGAAATAAAAAAAAAAGCTATATGACAAGAAGCAGTGCCGCTCATGAAAACACATTTGGCAGATTGCGTTCACATCAATGTGGTGGGAACTCTCCACTTGGCCCTGTTCCAAATTCACAGGATGAGCAATAGCATCTACGGCTGAAGATCAAGTGAACCTGCTTTTTCGTTGGTTGGTGCAGTTTGGAGGCCGAACTTGAAGAGGATTCATAATAACAAAACTGTTCAAAATGACATTTCGATATTAGCCAGGAAAGCTTCTTCAGCAAGAAATTGAGGCCAGGCAACAGTTTATACATATAAGTTGCAAAAATTAGTTAGAGATCGACATAAACTCGTACATGCTTTCCAGTGAGACAGTTTTCTGTTCCTTCAAATTGGCGTAGTGGGTGATTACTTCGCGCAGGAATTATACTGTGATGCCATTTCTATTCAATATGAGATCATTTAAATAGATCAAGTTGATCGATTAGTAGTGCTAGGATCTCATACATTAGAAACAATTAAACAGATGACTATTCAAAACAAATATAATCGAATTGTATTGTTTATGGCGAAAGGGTTCACTATTATGGCGGTGATTTTATAGATAATTATGCATAAATGCCATATACACCATTTAACAAAGTTATCATGGGTAAACCCCATTAGTCGATGATAATCGTAGAGTTCAGATGAAACCTAAAATGAATACCTAACTCGCAATGTCTTCAAACCTAACTCATTGCGTTCTTTACTGATATCTTCAAAACAATAATAGTAATTCATTCGTCATTTCAGTTGTGTTTACAGCATCTTGAATAAATGTATGATATTTCACTTTTTGGATACTATCAACGACAGTTCTAATAATACTAGGTTCCAACAATCCACAACGGCGCTTGCCCGCTTCCCTTGATCATGACGATGAGAAAGTTGAAAACCTTGCACATGTTTACCATCGTGGAAACTAAACGTAAAGTTGAAAACGATTTCATTGTAGATAATCAAACTGAATTGTACTGAACTATTGTATATGACTCCAATCAACTCTGATATCAATACAAAGTCTGGACATAGGTTTTGCAATAAATTATTTTTCATTTCTGCCTTCAATCAGGTCATGGGACGAAGGCAGAGTCCATTTTTACAATCAGATCGGAAATAAAATCGATCGGCTGACCTAACTCGTCCAATTTATTTAATTCCTGTCAGACGAACTTTAAGAGCATGAGATGGTCCTAGAGTCCAAAGCTCCTAGTAAGGCACGTTCTCCGGGCTCTTTCTCAAGCACAGAAATGGGGTTTCCATGTAACTAATAACACGAAGAAAAAGAGGCGGACAGACGACAGTTGCAGTCCTCAACTGCAATCTTATCTTTGGACCATATTGCGAGATGCCTTAACTTGACCCTACGGGCAGTACAGATGACACTCACTTTACGAAAAAGGCATGCTGCGCTGAAGAGCTGTTAAGGCTGTGAAATAAGATTGTGCCCGGTAAGCTGTTGAGGGACAAGGGGTACTAGACTACACAACAAGATCTGAACATGACAACCTTGGTTATGGAAGATCCTCCCTCGTATCTTGAGAAAGTTTGCTTCTGACAAAAAGTGAGCAAACTTTTGCACGACTCTAAATAGCTCCTAATTTTTTAATCATCCGAGTCGATCCATATTTGCGTTAGTCGGTGAAGAATTTCGATTTCGGAATCATCCATGGTTCTAGAGATCTGTCTTGTAGTCCACCAAATCATCATAACCTAGAGCCTCTCTTGGTGGTCTGTGAGGCTGATCCTTTCCCATGGGGAACTGCCAGAATGAATCTCCAAATTCATACAGCAAGTAGAACAAAAACATCGACACCAAAACCATAAGCGCTAAAACAAGATACAGCTGCCATTCTGCACGGACAAATAAAATGATGAGAACGGTCAGTTCGGTGCATATGAAGATGAGCTCTTAGAATCATACAGGAAAAGCAAGTGAAGTCGCGGTCTGGTTAGGCTAGCTTCAACAAAGAAATCTATCCCCAAGACCCAAGCAGTTTCTTTGTAGAGACAAGATGGGTCACCACAAATTTATGGAGGGGACAACTATTACGAGTATTCTTAACGACAAAACCAAACTTATCAACACTAAAGAAACCGTGCACTTACCCTTCCATTCATGGCTCAGATCAACAGCCGAAACACGCGAGCTGCAGTCGGTGGCAAGGGAGAGGATCGCTCTGTCATGGAAACAGAAAAAAAAAATATCAGGTATCAGCACTGTAATAGTCCAGCCCCGGTCCCTCCTAAAGCAGCCCACACGACGTATGATCCCAGCTTTCAATCATGTCATTCGATGGTAAATAATTATATAATGCGTGGATGATCTGTATATGGTTTACTCACTTGTCATTTGGTGAAAATTCCAGGTAATTGATGCTTTGTAGGTGGGCAAATCTGATTCGCTGGTGCACCTCCATCTTCTTCACTTCGATGATTGATATATCACCAGTCTGACTTCCACTGGTTATGGATTGTAAATCAACCAATCATCAAAAATAAGACCGGTTGCTCCATCACAAGAATTATTCTAAGGATGTAAAGTTGACTCTCTCCGAGAGCTCTCTCTCATTCACTAGTCACATGCAAGCTTAGAGAAACATGTTACTCTAAGCAGTCTACTTGATCAAACTACTGTCTGCCCATAACTGATAGAACTACTATGAATGATTCGAAGAAACTGATTTTCGCAGACGTAATACTTTTGGTGTTTGTACTGTAAGGTGTGAAAGAATGCCTCAAATTTTGCCTCATGACGTGAACAAAGTTGATATATTGCGTCCAAAAATACCTAGTCATCGAGCACTACCTCAATTGCTGGGAGATCTTACATGTGTGATGTAAGGCACATAGAAAATTGAATCAACGAAGGAAAGGATCGGGAGAATACATGGCAAGCCGCTTTCCATGGTGACTTATTGCCATGGAAGTGATGGGTTCGTCCAAAAACTTTTTAGCACCCAATCGTCTCCAAGTAGCCAAGTCCCACACACTCACCAGACCATCCTGCTCTGCAAGGTGAATTTCAAAGTCATATAATCAAGCGACCGTACCACGCCTTGTCGCTATTCGTCTATTATCAAATAGGTTGTTTTAACCCTATAACGCGACTTTTCTTCGAACTCCTAATTAAGCACGAAAATTAGTTGATAGCAAACATCGGCAAATATCAATAGGAATCGGCCCTCTTAAACTACACAACAAGTTTACCAAAAACTAAATCGGCGCATTACCTTTTGTTGTCACTGAGATAAATAAGAAGGGCTTCATTCCGTCTCGCGAGAATCTACAAAAGCCGAAGTTCTCTCCCTAGAAAGAAAACCAGAAAACTCCAGAATTAGAGAAAGCGACTCATATTGTAAACAAATATAACCAACTGTACAATGACATTACGTGTTTGTTCACAAGGCTCTTGCTATTATACATAGGTCACGTCATTGATTAGAAAAGAAGAGAAAAGTGGAAATCATATCAGGTTATAGTACCTCCTCATAGGGCAGCGTCATAAGCAGTCCTGAACCAGCTGATATGTCCCATATTCGACATGGGCTATTGTCTGAGGTTGTTGACAGGAAGGCAGAATCCAAACTGTAGCCAATCGCAAACAGATATCAAATGACAAAAATTCCTGTTGTTGCAGAGAGAATTGATTCCCAATATCAAGTATAACGAATCTCAGTGGAGGCTAATGTCCCTCATCAATCTTCTACCATTTGCGTCCTAAAAATCGTATTTTTGAATGTTTTTATTGAAACAGGAAAAGTTATTACCTGATATCCATGTCCTTGACAAATTTGTGAGCGTTAGGAATATCGAGAACGATGTCCATAGTTGGCCACTCAAAAACACGCACATGGCCATCCTACCATTTTACACCATTCCGAGTCAGAAAGAAGAAAGTCAAAGCAGAAGATACTTCAGGTCATATAGTCTTCCATTAAGATTTCAAGACAAAAGTATGGTGTAGCAATAAGAATTCTAGAACCTATCTCTTCCCTATAACTTAGAGCGAGTATGCAATAAGCGGCTTCCCGGACTGTACATCTGGGCTTTGACTTGTTTGGCCAAAGCCCAGCCCTGTCTGAGGGACGGGAAACCGCTGATAACCACATAGAGAGTATGGTCTTCAAAGAGGCACATGGAAGATTCACCTCGCCACCAGTGGCCAAAAACGAGCCGTCACAGCTAAATGTTAGACAGTTCTGCGGCCCAACGTTTTCAAGGCCACCGAGTTGTCGGATAGCTGGAATCAACTTCAATTCTAATTCGAACCTTCCTTTCGAAGATCTGATATCATCATCGTCCCATTCTTCCCATTCAAACAAGCTGCAAAATATGTCATTGTTTCGCCTTTTAGATTTCGACGATCTCATAGTTACTTCCTCTGTTTGTACAATAACAGGCAATATCATCCCGTAAGACTCTAAGAGTACTCTGAACTACAAACTAGAGACGTTTACCGAAGAACTGTTTTTTGGACCTAACAGCTCTTCTTAGTTTGTACACCTTAAGAGCAGTGTGGGTAACACTGCTCTATTACACGGATAGTTTTTCCAGCTGTATGTACTGGAGATGTCGACTGGTTCTAGAAACTAGTGAAATCTAATAGAGGGCTGCGGCTGCAAGAAATGAAGCTAGAAAGCACGAACAATTTCCCCTGATAATATTTAGTTGAAACGTTTTAGAGATAACATCCACACAGGCTTGAAACCTGCAGCGAACACTCATTGTAACTTACGTACGGATTTCCCCTGACTCGAAGTCTTCCTAATTCATCAGGTGGAAATGCGATCATCACCAAATTGTGTAAATATAAACATGCGTTGGCGTTCAGGACCAGCTACTCACCTGCAGCTCTCAGCGAAGGAGATAATGGCACCATCCCCACCTGGATGAACTGCGATCCTTAGTGGGGTACCATCTTCCAATGGAAAATCTGTTTTCTGTCACGAGCACAAATTGCGATATCCTCAGTAATAATACAACCATACCTTATTTCTTCCAAGAAAATTTACTCGAGAAAGACGTAGGAATTCAGCTGTGAGAATATGACTTCTTTAGGTTATCCTGGAAATCGAAACTAAGGACACGAATTGCAAGCACATTATCTGGTATAACTTTTTGGCACGCAAAACAGACACGAATGTTAACGTTGTGTAGGGAACAAAACCACTGTAACTTCCAGCAGATTAAAGAGTTGCAATTTGCAGCGAAGTCATCAAAACCGAATTGTACAACTTTGCCCAACACCCCAAGAGTTTTCCGAACAGCAATCTTTCCGCTGCTAACTACGAATTACATCGACAGTGCACGGGGAAAGAGGAACCCACTGGCTCGGACAAAACATCCGCATCCCAGTCGTAACGGCTCAAAGCCACTACGTCCCCCTTCTCGTCGCTGCCCTCTGTACCAAGGAAAACATGATCCGCAATTTCCTTCTCGATTCGATGATGTGTAGCCCATGCAGCACACACAAATCGCGATCCGTCATGTTGCGGAACGGAGATGAATTTTCCACGCTTGCCCATCGTCAACTCCTCCCACTAATTCTCCGACCTCTTCCACCCTACGATTCAAATTCGGGTCCGCCTCTCTCCTCGATCCCCCAACAAAAAAGGGCACACCTCTCGCACACAGACCGTCCAGATTCCGCTCTCGCACTAAGCTCCAGAAGTCAAGGACCCTCCTCCCGTGTCAGCGCTGGCGCTATCGCTCATCCAGCCCAAAATTCGTCCACTCGCTCATAATTCCCCCGCCACCACCCCACCCCGGCCCACCCGATCAAGTCAGCTCGTCAGTATAACGAACACCGGACAACTGCTCTGCCTCTTGACCCATCGCCTCAACTGAACGCTGGTGACAGTCCCTCTCCCCCTCTCTCCCTCCGTTTCGAGTTTTCTTGCTCGGCAATCAAACGAAACCGGTGGCCATCATGCGACTCAAATGCACGAGTCGAGGCAGCATCCCTCTCAAACCGGAATATTCTCTCGGCATATGCCTTCCGATGGGCGACTGCTTACGGTCCAGACCACGAGAGTGAAGTGGCAAAGGTGACAAATCGGGCCCGATGCAATTTCTGCAATTTCGCCTTCATCTCTCTCTCTCTTGTCTGCTGCCCCGAGGTCCTAAATCCGCATTCCGGTTCCATGTCCGCCTTTCGTGGACTTCTCTTTCTCCGCCCGCCCGCGTCCTCGTCCGGACTAGCCTTCACTCCCTCCCCAGGCCGTGCTTTCGGTTTCGAGTACCCCAAATTTAGCCTTCTCCGCTTCGTCCTTTGCGACGGGACAATAACGACCTTGGGCCCGGCCCCAGCCCCCGACAAAGACAAGGCCGGTGGTCCTCATGTCAGGGCCTACGGGTGCAGCCCTCGTCATCGGTTCATCATACGGGCCCTCCTTATTTATTCGGTCTCTTTCTTTAACAGTCGAAAGCTTTGTGCCCATCCGGCCCGGCAGATCCCTTGAATAGCATGTACGTTGTATCAATTTCTTCCTCTTGGTTTTTCAATTTAGGCTGTCATGATATTCTCCGAGAAGGTACATCTTGAATATTTGTAATTTCTTTTGCGTTATATTTTCATTTGCCTTGGCATCTCCTTCATTCTAAATGATAGTCCTAATATATGTTTGTTATAAAAATAAGAGAACTGTATATTCTCCCATGATACCATACTCTAAAGTCTTGATTCCTCTAGTACTTTTGGATGCTTTTAGCTTACATGACATTTTCAATAGAAACAAATGATTGATTTGATTTCAATAGGAATTGGTAAAAATTGTATGTGAGTATTAGTAAACTAACCGGCTCAAAGGTTTTCAAATCGGATCAAAATGAGCAAATATGGTCGGGAGGGGTGATGGAGACGCTCGGCCGCCGCCACGGCGGAGCGCCCATTAGTGCTTGCACAGGGATTAGCAAATTCAGAACTTCGAACGGCATGGATTGACGAGTCGATTGAGAGGCTACTTGATCCAGACTCTCCCTCGAGGAGAACGAGCTTCTTAGGGTTTACCATGCAGCTCGCCCGAGCCACTTACAAGGCGGTCCTCCACAAGGAAGCTCGCGCCTTACCTCCCTCTAACAAGGTTTTTGACACCATGGACTTTTTGACAGCCGCCCTGGCTACTTGCAATCTTGACAAGGGCCTTGTGGACACGCTCCGAAGGCATGATGGAGAAATCCTCCCACGAGGCACCTTTCGCAACTACCAAGGAATTATTGTCCGCGACGCGGTCTCCTTATGCTTTATGCCGCTGACCAAGCCAGTCTAGCTCAAGAAATTCATGCGAATGGCAGACAGGTGGTTCTCGCGTGCATTGTATAGGGGACGTTAAAGGGCGTCACATGCGAACACTGGTGGACCTCCCTCATTCACATGGCCCACGAAACGGTCCACCCTAAACCCATGGACCGTTTCGTATCGTTTAGTCGGGCATACCTTTGCTTATGTTCGGATGTGTGGCGCTGCCACCACGCACCGAATATTCATATATGCTCTTCATAGATTCCAAGGTGAAGCGGTGTTCTCTAAACACTGGTCCCGCGGTTTCTCGGAATCCTCTGGCCCACGTGGATAACCTTGTCGGACCTCCCACTGGAATTCTGACGCATTGCCAACTCCATTGTTGCGCAACTTGGTCGTATATTCGCCAAGAACAATAATCAGCCCCCAGATGCGCTTCCTTGCTTTTGCGTAGGATTTGACATTCGCCATGGTTGGATTACGAATGTGGTTGGATACATTGAGTCAAGTGGTAGTGCAACCATTGGCATTCACTACGAAGCAATGGAGTTGTACTACCAAATCTGTGGCAATCATCAACACCAGTCGTCAGCCTACCCAACCAATTCTCTGCGTGAGCCGCCCCGAGAGATCCGAACGTAACCTCGTCCCGCTGAAGAAATTCAACGACGACCTTTCCCACCTACGCAGCACACCGGTTGCTTGATCCAATGCCTCGTGGAGAATAGTATCAACGACCTCCAAAAATCCCTCGGACCCAGCCCAGTTGCCATCAAGGGCGTCACTTACAGGATTCCCCACAACCCCAACGACCCGCCGTTTGCGTTCCATATGAGGATGGGTTCGTCCCAGTTCAACCTCAGCACCGACGCCCGTCTAAGTTTGACCACTTGTCTGCAAATGCGCCCGACGATCCGTCACAACCGCTTCTGCTAACCCTCATGTCGCCGGCACATCAACGAGCGCTGCCACCGACCCCGAATGGCTCATCAGGCCAAGTGTCACGGCCACTACACCAAAGACGCATGCAATCAGGATGAGACATCCAGCCACATCAGGCATCCGCTCCGACCCTTCAACCTCCGTGATGTAACCTTCGAGCTGACTCTCACTAAGATTTAACTCTGATGCTTTGAGATAGCTCATCATGGTTCTAGAATACTATGATTTCTCCTCATAATCATAGCCCAAACATCCACTCACACAATACTTCAATGTATCACTTCAACTCTCACACACATCGACACTCCAAGGTATTGAAAATTGTCACTCTTTCATATATGAAACAAATCTCTAGACATGAACTCTCCAAACTTGCTTCAGAGGTTCTTCCCTACCAAACTATATATACTACTTGAGAATTTACCATGGTAACAAATGATAATTTCTATCTAACTTACTTTTACAAAGATAAACCATAGTAAAGTTGATTAGTTATCAATATGTGGTAACATGTCATTGGCATACTAAACCTTCTAGATGTTTACTAATCCCTAGATTGAGGTGATGACATGTTATTTAAGATTTTCCCACTTCCAAGAACATCATTTGCCACTAAGTCAACATTACACCTAATCTAACCAATGGACTACTCCTTACTTAGTCAACCCAATCAAAACTAAACATGAAATCAAAAGTTTTTTCTCTTGAAATCTAGACTTTTGTACAAAACAAAATAAAAGTGCTCACTCAAATCTTCTAGAACTTCTTTAGTTATTTCGCCAAGTATATGCATCATAGCTAAACATAGTTACAACTTGATAAACTTAGTTATAACTAGCTAAACTTATTTTAACTAGCTACACTTAGTCATAACTATTCTATCCTTGGCTACTTCTAGTTTTATTTCACACATACAACATCCGGTCTTACAGTCCCCTCCCATCAACGTTCAATGGAAAGGTCCGATACCGACCTCGTACAATCCGAATAGGATGGCACTATGGGATCCTTGCCGCCCTCGCAAGGAAGCAGCCTTCTTGTGGAGTATATACCACAAACTCATTGCGGTGAACCACTGGCGTAGCGTCGACACTCCAACTATATCTGATCTGTAAGACCGGATATTGCATGTGTGAAATAAAACTAGATTTAGCCAAGGAGTTAATCATGGTTATGATAGTTATGACTAAATCTAGCTAGTTATGACTAAGTCTAGCTAGTTTAGCTATAATGTCTATACTTGGCGGAATAACTAGAGAAGTTCTAGAAGATTTGAGTGAGCACTTCTATTTTGTCTTGTACAAAAGTCTAGATTCCAAGAAAAAAGACTTTTGAGCTTCATGTTTAGTTTTGATTGGTTTGACTAAAGTAAGGAGTATTCCATTGGTGAAACTAAGTCTAATGTTGACTTAATGGAAAGTGGAAGTTCTAGAAGTGGGAAAGGCACAAATGGCATGTCGCCACCTCAATCTAGGGATTAGTTTACATCTAGAAGGTTTAGGCGGCCAATGGCATGTTGCCACATATTGAAGGAAAGGGTTTGACGCCAAGCTAAGTGCTGAAACGGAGAAAGTGACCTCAGCGGGTTCAAGCTCAAACTGAAGATGGAGATCATCATTTGAATGATGGAGAAGATGATGATGAGGGTAATACTCATTGTATGTCTAGGGGAGGAGAGAGCTTTGACTATCTTGGAGCAACCAATTCCTTTTGTGTTTCCTTTGATGAATTACTCAAGGATGGAGCTAGTGTTGTTTGTATTGTATTAGAAAGTCCCATATATATTTCCAATAGAAAAAAAAAATTTATAAAAAAATATTAGTTGGAAATGGGGAAGCTTCTGGTGTTTTATGGGAGGAAAAATGAGGATGTAGAAGCCTTTGTTAGGGACTTCAAGAGGGCTTGCATAGGAAACAATGAAAGGAAGAAGGTTGAGTGGGCTATGCTTTTGCCGGATTTCTTGGAGGATTCTGCTCTCAAATGGTACCAAGAGTACAAGAGAGAATATGTGGAGGAGGACACTTGGGAGACGTTGACGGAGAGTCTCATTGAAAACTTTCTTCCCAATGAAAGTTATGAAAAGTTGATGTGTGAGGTCACCTTCTTGAAACAAGGAGAGAACGAGAAGGTGAGGACCTATGTGAAGAGAACTGAGAAGTTAGAGTCGAGGTTCCACGTGGTGTTGAGGGAGGGTGGAGACGAAGTGGATGCTACAATGGTGGAGATACGAGCAATGCTCATGAAGAACTTTGTCGGAGGTTTGAGACCCGAGATTCAAAGTAAGGTGAGATATGAGAAGTCTTCTTCTAAAGCTGAAGCCATTCGAATTGCTATTAGAATGGAGGAAAGCTTAGAAGATGATGATTCTAGCTCGGTGGCTAGAGAAGTAACTCCACCGGTATGAAGATTCATGGGTTCAAATCTTGCTAGTTCATCCACAATGGTGAATCCTAATGTAGATTTGCAAAATGAATTGAAATCTATTACGGAAACTCTAGCAGACCTCAAGATCAATGTAGTACAGTTGTGGGAGAAGAGGAATCAGAATGTAGGAGGAAGTTCTAGAGGGTATGGAAATTATCCTCCAAGAGGAAATCCACCTCCATGAAACTTTGCATTTTCTTGTTTTACTTGTGGCGGTCCTCATTTTCAGCGAAATTGTCCTAACCCTCGACAACATGATGGAGTTCGGCACAACAACAATGCACCGGCCACACAACAAGCCAAGGATAAGGGAGTAGCATCCATTGATGTATTTCCTCATCAATGCATTTTTGAGAAAGGAGAGAGCTCAAAGTCAAAGGTGGATATCCTTGCACATGAGAAGAAACGTGCTCGATTTGCAGATGAGTCAATTTCCATGGAGGACATGCCAAGTCGGAGTACACGATCAAGTGGATGTAGTCAACCAAGAGTACCAAGAAAGAAGTTGGGCATGAATGACTTTTCCATTTCATCTTCTCAAGCTAAGTATGACGTGGTGGAAGATGTAGGAAGTCAGAAGGCCAATATCACAATTGGCC